TCTCCCTAAATTTCCAACTCCTCAAATTTCCAACTCCCTAAATTTCCATCTCCCCAAAATTCCAACTCCCCAAATTCCCAACTCCCTAAATTTCCATATCCCCAAATTTCCAACTCCCCAAACTCCCAACTCCCTAAATTTCCATCTCCCTAAATTTCCAACTCCTCAAATTTCCAACTCCCTAAATTTCCATCTCCCCAAATTTCCAACTCCCCAAATTCCCAACTCCCTAAATTTCCATATCCCCAAATTTCCAACTCCCCAAATTTCCCACTCCCCAAATTTCCAACTCCTCAAATTCCCAACTCCCTAAATTTCCATTTCCCCAAATTTCCAATTCCCTAAATTTCCAACTCCCCAATTTCCATCTCCCCAAATTTCCAACTCCCCAAATTTCCATCTCCCCAAATTTCCATCTCCCCTAAATTACTCTTCCCCATCAAAAAATTACACAATACTAATTACAATAATAACTACCACAAAAACACCAATAATAAATTAATAACACTAAGACTTGCAATAACAGCGTCAGCAATAATAATAATAGTAAACGTTGAACGTTATGTAAAAAAGGATCATAAATTTTCGTAGGAACCGTATTAAATAGATTCTGAATTTAGAAATTTTCCTTCCGATCGAATCGTGAATATTCTACAGCGAATTCGCGGGTAATATTGAAATCGAGATAATAAAAAATTCCTTTGGGTAGCAGACGATCTATTTGCAATCCTTTCGAGAAACGAATCAATCCGTAGGAGCGATATCTGGAACGATTAATTCCTCACTTGCAGGGAAGCTCCATCTTTTTTTTTCTCCTTTCTACCCCCTTCGTCGTTTCCCGCCGGAATTCCTGCTTTTCGAAACGTTCCCTTTCTCAATTAATATTTCGTGTTTAATATCGCGAGTATTTTTATTGCAACCCGTTCACACATGCATTCCTCGTGTTCTTTTTTCCTTCGGAGTACCAATAAATTTTCACTGGTAATATTCGAACGTCGAATGTAATTTACAATATTTTTTAAATGCAGAATCTTATACATATTTTATTTTAGAAATTAAGTGTATCATTTATATTTTAAGACAGGAAAAAATCACATGTATATATTTTATTTTAGAAATGTATATTCTATTTTAAATAATATTTTATTTATTTAATTTTAGAAATAAATCAACGTTGATTAAAGACGAAATAATTACATTTTAACAAACTTTCAAGGTTTTGATAAATCTTTCGCGTTTTAATTTTGAGGAGGGAGTAAATAGGTCGAATAAACTGCAAGACGTATCTTAGTTATTTAGAACACGAGACGTGGTGCGATGTTTAAGGGGAGATGTTTCTTTCATCCCTTGTATTCTGTAAGATTTAATTAAAAATCGAGGGTACTGACGCACAAGGGACACCTTGCGTTCTTTAGATCCGTTATTTCGAATTTCAACAGTTACTTGAAGCGTGTTAAATTCGGGTATCGTGGATATTTAATATGTATTTAAAGCTACAAACAACGGTCGAGTTGTTGCGATATAATAAAAAACTAACCTCTACATTTTATCATTCGCCTTGATTCGTTCATAAAAATAGTCAATTATTAATGAAGTAATTATTGAATTATTTATATATTCAAGAATATCAATTTGCACACATGTTGCTCTTCATACATTTTTTATTGTTGTTAAAAAAAGTTTTTTATTCAAATTTATCTCTTAATAAATATTTTAAAAAGTCAATCAATAAATTGTTAATTATTAGATAATTCTTACTTACCTTTAAATAAATCAATTTATATGTACAATTTATACTTACTTTCAAATATATCAATTTATATGTACAATTTATACCTACTTCCGAATACGTCAATTTACATACACATTACTTTTCATTCTGCGCCATTTTGTTTTAAAAGAAATTTATTAACATTCATCATTTTCTTCAAATCAATCACAAAGACAGTAAATCAAGAAGTAATAAATTAAACTATTTTATCTGTGTCCATTCTTAAATACATTAAAGTATACGTACATTTTTATACATTTGGTTGTATTATTTAAAAGAGTTTTTAAAATGAAAGCGTGTAGCCGAAGAAGGAAAAATACAGAGAGGATTTCAGTCTCTTTCGATATCTGGCCTCTAGCACATGCTGTAGCATTGTATAAAGCGCAAGCCTCGTCCTGTAGTAGGATCCTCCCTGCTCGCCTCCTCGCCGCACTATTGACGGGAGTTTTAATAAAAGTACCCCCACCAGGAAAGCTAAACGTCGCAGTGGAAGGACCCGGTGAACGTGGAGCCAAGAAGATATTGGGTAAAGCAAAGATCGTAAGGACACTTACAGACATCAGGCCCGACGAAATTTCGGAGGAGATTGAGACCACCGTCGTACACTCGACCACCACCACCACACTCGGACCAATCAGAAACGTAATCATAATTCTCTGGCTAAAGATTACGTTCGAACTTCATGGCGATGGAAATACTTTTATGTTCTTCTGCTCGACTTGTTTTGTCATACGTGCATACTGTTTTAGCACTTTTCAATATTTACTAGGTTCTATATGCGCTTTCAAATTTATGAGTTTATATGTTGACGAGTTTACAAGTTGACAAGTTGGCGAGTTGACGACAGGTTGGCGAGTTGACAGATTGTTAAGTTGATAAGATAACAAGTTGACAAGTTAATGAATTCAGTAGTGTAGAAGTTACAAGTCAACAGGTTAACAAGTCAGCTGATTGACAAGTTTATAGGTTAACTAGTTTAGTATACAAGTTGTCAAATTTATAAATCTTCACATCTCCAAATTTTCATTTTCTGAAACTTACAAAACCTCCAGAAAATATCTTTTCAAACCATAAAATATTTACCAACCTCGAAGCTGTACGAATTCACAGAGTTCCGCAATCACCTGTTTCCTAAAACGAGTAATAAAGTTGAATAGTAAAGTTTTTCTGGATCTATTATTAGAAAGTCGATGCATTGAAAGTCAACGCGCGGATTTAGAAGGTTTCGAGCGATCATCGAAAATGAATCAGTCGATCCTCGAATAGTCTGTTGAGCCACGCTCTAATGCCGAGTAATATAAGGTGGCGAATCACCCTTTGAATACACTACCGACTATTATGACGCATCGTCGATCCCATAGAAAGACGAGTCCTGTTCCCGTGGATCCTATACAATACCCATGGTGCACTTTCTCGCACGAACGATCTACCGTTTCTACCATTCAGATCTGGAAAGCCTCTGTGTTTGACCACAAACTGTTTTAATCCCTCTGTTACTTCTATTTGCGTTCCCAAATCGTTGAGCAATATGCGCTCAGTCGTGATCTAATGTCGAACACTTCAGCCGCCATTACAGCCGGATGCGTCGATCTCGATATATCTTCGATTGTTGCTCGGTCGAATTGAAGTCTCGCAACTTTCCGAAATGTGAAAAATATAACCTTGTATGTGTCAATCATTCGTAACAAAAGTGAAACAAGTCCATTTTTTTATAAAAATTCAACTCGTTACATTTTTTATTTGTTCGAAACACGATAACCTAAAATAAGTGTAGAAAGTAAATTCTTTCTAATAGTGTTGTTAACTTGTAAACTCTTAACATGTAAAATTTATTTTGTAATAAAATATAAGTACGTAATATGTGGTGTGCGTAATATACCTGTCTAACTGTGATTTTATTAGCATTGGATTAATAGGTTAGCTATTGGAAATTAATTGGGGCCTCGTAAATGATGTCCATTTGCAAGTAGAACATGTTCCGAAAGGGAAATTTGACAGGGGTGATCAGACATCGACTAGAGATCCGACAGTATCTACGAGTCAATAAATCAACTGCTTTCGGTTGTTTAAAAGTTCACGGTTGAAAAGTATCGGTGTGGACACAGCTGACATGCTTTGCCGATCACCCTCCGCTAGATTTGACACGCTATTAGCTACGAAGTTCACGTGTTTGCTTAACTATCGATTAACCGTGCCGTTTCTCTGTGATCCTAGGACTAATCACAGGTGTTTCGATTTCTTCTTTTTTCCTGTGACAGGTTTATGGGGACCCCCTTCTGCTGGAATTCGTTTCTCGATAGCGAGCGATCGTTCGATTAGTTGTTTAGATACATCGTGTTTTACACGATACGTATCTCCATCGTTACAGGTTGTTGTATATTTCGATTATCATTGAATCTACTATTTTCTGTAGACGATTCTGTTTGGACATATATACATATATGCATAAAGGGTTAATCCGTATAAAAATGTATAAAATTCACGCAGATCATGATATTAAACCGAGTAGATTAACTTTTCTTATATTCATTTTCCACACACGAGGTACATGCGATACAACGCGCTTTCAATATTGAAATGAAGTTAACCAGTCTTTTTAACAAAAATACCAACCCAAAACTAAAAAGTTATTTATTTTTATTGCCAACCTAACAAAAATGTAACGTGAACAATCAGAATTCTACATGATATAACAAGGTAGATATTTATTTCAAGAACAGATTTTCAAAGATGTTCAACTACGTTTCAAAATTTATCTATTAAATTGTGTCAATGATTAAACGACAATCAACTAAAAATAAAGCGTGTGTCAGACGCAGATAAAGGTTAAAAATTGAAGAACAAAATTAGTTGAATAATTTCGAACGATTCGAAAGTTTTTTCCGATAGATATTTCATTCGAAGAGACGTTTGAGAACCACCGTGAAATATTTGCAGGGCGCATGTCAGTGGTGCCGGGGGTGGAATATTAAGGGTTTCGAGGGCGGAGCCGCGGACGTGTCTCATGGCTACGATCTGCTGTTCCCTCTTTCGTCGTACCTCGAACGATAACCTTTAACCTTATCATCTAGCATGGCCATTAAGTTCGACTGAACTTTGGGATGCAGGTAAAGTTCATTCGGTTCGAATGTTCCGTGAAAGTCTCGCGTTTCTATTTACATTATCGTTCTATCAGTGTCAGGACAATTGGTAAGTTTAAAGAACTACAATGTACTGCATACATTTTGTTGATCATTGTAAATTATTGTCTTTAATATTTTTTTTTTACTGTCACGAAAATTGTAATATATGTTAGATACGTAATTGTTCGGAAAGTCGATGACGGTATTTCAACTTTAAACTTTGGAACTTAACTTTCGGTTTAATCGGAGTGGCGAGGGAATTAACAAAATTCGATAGATTTCAATTTTATTGAACGTGGTTCAATTCGACGACATTAAATTTGACGTGTTTCATTTTGACACGGTTCAATTCCACGCGATTGGATTTTGACGCATTTCAATTCCACGTGATTCATTTTCAGTACGGTTCAATTCCATATTACCTAATTTCGGCACGATTCAATTCCACGTGATCCAATTTCAGCGTAAAGCATTTCCAAACTGCAATTACTATTCTAGAAGAGCAAACACAGTTATAGATAGTTAGAGCTAATTAAATGAAGTTCTTGATCAACAATAATTCTGATACGTTGAAAAAAGTAACATGTATAATAAGATTGTAGTTATGTATATCATATTTATAAGCGAATACAGCCTGAGAAATACTTGTTGATCAAATACTAAAGATGCATTCAGAGTGGGCGACGGACACTTAACCTACACATCATACAATTCATCTACAAGTAACAGTTCCATAACAACCTATGCAGTATGTACAGCTACATAGGGTAAGAACTTATCCATTAACTACAGACCTAATTATCCAATTACCCTTCCCTAAAATTTCCATATGAACACCCATAAAAAATAATGAAAAGAACCGACAAATTATCTTATCACGATATGAAAAGCATGTAGGGTGCGTTGTTTCAAGCTCGAACGACCGGTAAACCGATCAGTCTGCATAATGTGATTTAAACGTCACCCTAACGAGATCAACCGCCCCGATGGTTCGATCGTCGCAAAGCCGAGGGCAGCAAGGGTGGTGAACGATTAATCCGTGACTTTCCGTTCCTGGATCGAGATATCCTTGGATAGAAACGAGACGAGGGAACCAGCTGTGACAGGGCAGCGGCTGCACGTACAATATCGCCGTGGCTTTTGGGGATCCAAGATGACGCCCTCTCCTTCCGTTCTCGCGTTATGTCCAAGGGGCTACACGCCACCTTCTCTGGCGTCAGCTTGCAACGGAAGAAACAAAACGGCTGACCCTGCCTCTTCTTTCACGTATCGCCAAAAAAACTCCCCCTTTTTTCTGATTATCAATATATCAGGTACACGTTCTTGAACACTTTCAGAGATTGTTATGAAGGAGGGATTTCTGGAACAGTGGATTGGTGCATGTTTGGTGATCAAAGTTTACTTTGTACAGCTTTAATTTTATTAAGCTTAGTGGTATGATTCAATTTTTTATATTTATGAATCTAGAAATCTTTAACTTTCTAATTTTTTTTTATTTTCAGGTGTGTAAGTTTGTCAAGTTTTGAATATATAAATTTAAGTTTTCAGTATAATCATCAGATTTCTGAAGTACCAGATTCTTCAGTTTTTAATTAATTGCAATGTACATGTTAAAACATGAATTTGTTCTGAAGTATCAATAATTGTATACTTTATTCTACCAAGTATTTTTCATGTATCTGTTTGTTCTTAGAAGATGATAATATAACTAAAATTTTAAATGCAAATTGTACATGTTAAAATATGAATTTGTGCTAAAGTATCAATAATTGAATACTGTATTCTATCAAGTACTTCTCATATATCTGTTTGTTCTTAGAAAATGATAATACAACTAAAATGTTAAATGAGAATGTAGTTATGTAACTAGCTTGAAAGTATACTGTACAAGACAGGTGTCTAATAGATTAATGATAAGGTAATAATAGTTGTACACACATACAACATTGGATCACGTTCTTTTTATTTCGTTCACTTACGAATCTTAATCTAGGTTTACATAAAATGTAATTACTCGATACAACTGCCGTACAGTATGCTCGTAACGCTGACAAAAAATATATATTGCATGTATGCTACATCCTCTTGAGTTTGTCACGAGGTGCGCGATTATGTGATCAGGGAACAATACATTATATCGTTCGCAAACACAGATCCACGGGGAGAAAAAAATACATATCTGCGTGCTAAGCTCTTGTTCAGGGATAAAGGACAAAGTACAAAGTTTTGGACGATGCTCGATACACTCTCGTTAATCTTCTGTTTTTTTTTTTTTACATTTTTATAACAAACATACGTATACTATACATATAACATCTCTGTAATAAAACCTTGCAAACGGGTGCAAAATACTTCGTATCTTCGACAAAGTCCAAAAGTTTTTTTCTCGCCTATAGAAAACTATACTCTCTTTTTGTCTCTCGTTCGTTGCTTCCAAAAAAAAGACAATCATCCCAATAAATGCACAAAATACACGTTTCTCCAGCGGAGATTGTTGCTACACTTTGTAATATCAAAAATGCGGGTTTCCTCTTTTGTCAATGTCAATCTGCAGCTTCCGTCGAAACCGGAAGTCGATAAAAATATGTACAATCAAGCGGCACGGTTATTTACACGCGTATACAAATAAATTAATCGTTTTATTAGATACAATTATATAGTCCGTGTAAAATCGATCGATCGCATCAGATTATATGCAATGGTTACAATGTTTCTCACTTGCAAAGTAAACGATACGAGACAAAGTAGATAAATATAACGGAGTTGTATTTCGTGACAAATTAATTTTACACGGACTACAAACAACAAGTACATTTTATGCAAGAGTACAGAATGTTCCATAAGAATAATTTTTTTAATATGAAACATTTTATAGCCTTGTTTCTTTCTGGTGAGACACCTATATTTAAATAAAATTCAATCTATATATTGCACCCCTTTTTCAATTACATTTATTGTTTCTTTTTGTTTAGGACGATTCGCAAATGGAAAACGATAGCCAAAAAAAGTGAAAAACCTGGTTAATCAATGCCAGGAAAACCATGGTTGTTCTTTGTCAAATATTTTACCGTGGCTTCGTTTCAATTCCAAGAAAACAACCCCTCGTCCTTTCGTGTTAATATTTGCTGCGCTCAATATCGTCAAAGGACTCTTGCTCCGTGTTTTCCTCGAACATACAATATTTACTCCTTGAAAAATTCTTCTCTGCAGCTGCAAAGATCGCAATATGCCTTTTACTTTATTTGTGACTTGACAAATCACTCATTTATTATTACACGAATTTATATTCTTCACAATGTATTTATAAAAATTATGATCTATACAATTAAAATAAAAATAAATTTCTAATTCAAAGACACTATCTTATCTAAATTTAATAATTCGTTTTCTTCGCAGTACTTTTTTATTAATGATCTTTCTTCAATGTAATTAAAAAACAGACAAAAAATAATTTCAAAAATACATCTCTAGCCTTAACAATTGCATTACTTCATTTAAATGAAATAGAATTACTTCAATGATTGAAAATAATAATAACTGATTATTTCTATCGTTGAGAATATTTGTTATAACAGCAAAGAAAACCAAAATGGTTTCCCTACAACTTCATTGAAGAAGATTGCAAGAAGATTACTCAATAATTACGGATAGAGGTTCCTTGGAAACGTTAGTGACTCAAAATGTCTGAGTCCAGAAAAGAAATAAATATTAAAAGACTTCGAAACACTGTGAAGCCAATATCAATACAAAAAGATGATACTGTACGGCTTTTGAGAAGCTTCTTTAAAACTACAAGACTGACACCTTTTAGAAGAATTTGTATTCACACACTTTTCTCTAAAAGATTTGCACAATCTGTATCAATCTCTTGTGATAGGGTAAGTCACCCTCATATTTTCAAAACAGCCGCCAAAAACCGTACATTACCAACAAAATCATTCCAACTCGAAGTGCAATTTGAAGTTCGAATCGGAGACCAATGATTAACAGTCACAAAGTTCGAAAATCTCGAATACAACCGTATCCGATTACAGCTAAACATTAATCGACAAAATGATTAATTTACAATTCTGTTTCTTGGTGTCACTTTGCTAATATCCTTAGGAACTTTCGTTATCTAGTCAATTCGTCTTCGTTTCTGAAAATATCATCTGGTAAGGCAAACAACAATCAGCTCGCATCGAAAGACTCTTTCGACGCACCTTAATTCGTCTAAAATTTCCAAAATCAATTTTACTGTAAGTATCTTTCATCATCAAGGCCAGCAAGCACCTCAAAAAGACACCACGACATCTCAGATTCTCGATAAAGGACTCTGATCGTCGATCAACAGCAAAAAGGACTTGTTTTCTGCACACGTATCACGTGTGCTCACAATTGATCAAACAAGATTTACAAACAAGGACGCATTAGACGGAACTAGTTTTCGGTAGAGGTTTCAGCTTCAGCTCTCGACGTTGCTCGTGGTATTCTTGAAAACAGGGTACGATGCAGAGGTTGGTCTGACATTCGGGACAATGATACTTCGTCTTTCTTCTTAGCGTTCTACCGTGGGCGTCTATGGTGTTCCAACAGTGATTGCAACCTAGGGCTGGACCTGGACGAAGGACTGGACAGTGACCCAAACGTTGGTCTCCTGTGCTTTCTCTGGATTCTCTGGTTGTAGTCTGTAATAGATTTGATAATTCAGATTAGAGTGTGGTCAAATCTTGGAACTTTGGAATGTGGGAATTTTGGGACTTTTGAACTTTGTAACTTTGAAGTCTTAGAACTTTGAGACTCTGAGATCTTGGGACTTTATAGTGAGGCTTTGGGACTACATAACTTTGGGACTTTACAGGAAGGCCAAGGACTACACAACCTTGGGACTTTACAGGGAGGCCTTGGGGCTTTACAACCTTAGAACTTTAGAAACTTCTCAAGCTTGGGACTTTGAGACTTTGGTAATTTCTCAAGCTTGAGAGTTTGCAACCTTGGAATTTTGGAACTTTGGAAACTTCTCAAGCTTGGGAGTTCACAACCTTGGAATTTTGGGACCTTGGGAACTTCTCAAGCTTGGGAGTTTGCAACCTTGGAATTTTGGGACTGTGGAAATTTCTCAAGCTTGGGATTTTGCAACCTTGGAATTTTGGGACTATGGAAACTTTTCAAGCTTTGGAGTTTACAACCTTGGAATTTTGGGACTGTGGAAATTTCTCAAGCTTGGGATTTTGCAACCTTGGAATTTTGGGACTATGGAAACTTTTCAAGCTTTGGAGTTTACAACCTTGGAATTTTGGGACTGTGGAAATTTCTCAAGCTTGGGATTTTGCAACCTTGGAATTTTGGGACTATGGAAACTTTTCAAGCTTTGGAGTTTACAACCTTGGAATTTTGGGACTGTGGAAATTTCTCAAGCTTGGGATTTTGCAACCTTGGAATTTTGGGACTATGGAAACTTTTCAAGCTTTGGAGTTTACAACCTTGGAATTTTGGGACTGTGGAAATTTCTCAAGCTTGGGATTTTGCAACCTTGGAATTTTGGGACTATGGAAACTTTTCAAGCTTTGGAGTTTACAACCTTGGAATTTTGGGACTGTGGAAATTTCTCAAGCTTGGGATTTTGCAACCTTGGAATTTTGGGACTATGGAAACTTTTCAAGCTTTGGAGTTTACAACCTTGGAATTTTGGAACTATGGAAACTTCTCAAGCTTGGAAGTTTGCAACCTTGTAATTTTGGGACTGTGAAAACCTCTCAAGCTTGGGAGTCTACAACCTTGGAATTTTGGGACTATGGAAACTTCCCAAGCTTGGAATCTTGGAACCTTGAAATCTTGTGACTTTAAAACTTCAGACACTAGTACTTTAAGACTTCAATACTTTCTCATTTTGAAACCTTGAAACTGCACAGTACTATACTCCTCCACACCCATACCTGAGGAGACGAAGAGCTTCGCCTAAGTTCCGTAGTCTTCACCCTAAGTCCAGAAGTAGAACCTCCACTTTCTGTAGTAACAACCGACTCTTCCGGGACGTCCTCTTCCGTTTTAACAACAGGCGCCGGTTCCACAACGATGGAGGGACTAGTAGTCCTACCAGGGAACTCCGGATTCGAGTGCTGTCTATGAATCCAATAATTACCGCTGGTGGACTGTTGCTGACTAGACAAGATCGGGTGTGAGTGTTGTTTCATCAGGTAGGATGGTTGTGGCACGGTCAACAGGTTCGTCGATGTGGTGACGGTCAACAGGCTGCTGGGTTGGTTCACCAGGATCGATTGCGGCGGCGATGAGGTGATTCGAGTCTCCTCCCAAGTTTTTGAGGTTTGCGGCAGATTCAAGGTGGGCGTCGTCGCGTGCACCGAAGATGACACGATGTGCGGAGACGTCTCGCTGTCCGGGGATAAATGATTCGGCTCCTTCTTCACACGGGGCTGGCGGGTCAACAGACGACACCTTTTCACCGCTGTCTGCTTGCACACTACTGAAATGTAAAGATATTTAGTAACAGGAACAGTCTCAATGAAAAACAGGGAAAATTGATTTTTATCAATTAATTAATAATTGACTGATTTTTAGATGTTGAGAATTGTTTGATTTGATACAAGGGATGTATAGCATTTTGTTTGTAGATCTTCAAGGTCATGAAGTTAGCTTGAGGATTTTTGAAAATTTTTGTGTAAATGAACTGTGTGATACAATATAAAGTATGTTTGAGATTGAAGGTCAACTGAAGGTCACCTTCAGACTACAAATGCTACACATTTAATGCAAATGTTTACACAACTATTTTACTGGCTCAGCCTGTATAAGATAAAAATGCACAAATATTTCTATAATACAAAATAAAGGAATTATTCCTTTAAAATGTATTAAATATACATGTAACATGGACATACATTTGTGCACTAAGGCGATATAATTGGTGTACATTTGATATGCGGGCACAGATAAATTATTAAATGAAAAATGATACACTGTTTTAATTTAACGAATGAAAATTTGTTCTGACAATAATGAAGATTCTAATTGACCGGAAATAAGTTTGAATGATATTCTTCCTTCACGTGATTTATTACAGGCGTTATACATAACACTGACACATTAATCTCGACCCTCTGCATTATAAAATTCGATAGTAATTTAAATTAGTTTCTTTTTTTTACCTCCCTGTTACTTACAGGGATGAAATATCAGTGTGTAAGAGTATACATTGCTATCAACATTTTGTTAACATCCTATATTTATATCTATCGCTTTGTACAAGTATTTAGAAAACGAAAGAACAATGATAACAATGGATTCAATAGTTTTCGTTATTCATAAAGGAATAAAATTGGATTACAATCTCAATTATCGTTAATCATCGATTAAAGTAGAATTAAAAAATAAATTTTCCGATAAATAATGATAGATTCTCTTATCGTAATTTTTTCAATACATGCATTACTTTACTGATTTTTTGTTAAACAGCAGTAGGTATACAAATAAAAAATCGACGTGTAAATAAAAGGATCGACTATTTAACAGTTAAATAAAAAAATACTTTTATACAAATTAATATTATATAAACGATTAATAATGTTAAAACGCTGAAACGTTCGTAATAAACATATCTTATAATAAAATTGATTCTCAATTAAAAAGTGGAATTTGACAATTTGTACTGATGTGAACCTGCGCGTTAATCTTATACCCTGTAGTTTGTATCCATATACAGGGTGTACCATAACGTACAAATAAATTCAATCAATAAAGTCTTTTCAAATAGATTTCTACATTGTAAAATATATTCGATATAAAAGATTACAAGTTTACTTATCATCTAAATCAGTTGAACTATTATCTAAATTATTAAAATTCATTTAGTCATATATTTTCCCTAATAAAAATCATATTTTATGATACATCCTGTATACAACGAAATTTCTTAAATAAATATTTGAAAGAAGTCCCATTAAAATGTTACACAAAGTAATTTAAACGGTAATTAATTTAAACAAATTATTCCTTCGTTAACGAACAAAATGTTTCTTATCGATACCGAACAATTGATTGTAATACATGTATTGACTTCGATCACCTTGCTCGTAAACAAGTTGTTACAGTTCAATTGCTGTGCAAATACACATCGATATATTTTTCATTTTTCCGTTTAACTATATCGCTACTTTATTTACTATGTACAAAAGTTCATATGACGTTGGTATACGCGCTAAAGTTGGCAGAATATTTCGCGGCACTTCGTGCACGTGAAGGATTATTACGCCAACTTTAGAATTTACAGACCCTCGTATAGATCGACAAATTAAAAAAAGGAGAAATGTTCAATAATCCGTTCATAAATATTTGAAATCACAAACAAGCAAATATATTCGTTCACGGTTATCTCCGTGTGCTCTCTATCACATCGTTAATTTCACATTTCAAACGATACCGTTTAAACTAAAGGAACCTGTTCCGGAACTCGTATCCGTCTGCCGAAGCTTCCGGTATTGGACGACACTATCAACACAAATGCTTTGTTGTACGCTAAGAGCTCGCTCATGAAATTTTATGTCCAAAAATTATACCTTAAATTCTTCAGAAAACAAAGGAAAGATAATTCGGATTTAGAAAGCTGGACCATATTTAAATACAGTGTAACAGTACACTTGACATTAGAATTAAGAATTGTCCAAGAGTTCTTAGCTACACAACATTCTCATTTACATAGATTTCATTTACTCTACTATAAAAAAAAAACCTCTGTGAAGTATAAAATATAAAGTATAAAGTTTTGTAATGTATAGATGTCCCCCTTCAACTCGAGTTCTCTATATGATATTACAAGTTTCTTACAGGGATCAAATAAATATTTGAAAATGTATTCTCGGCTAACGCTGTAACGGTCCGTTTCATGCTCTCATTCTGACATTTAACATTTTACACTTATTAATACATTTCCGATTTCACATTCAAACAATACTCACAGTAATATTGTTAATAAGATACCCATGAAATGAGTAAATTCAAATATTAAAATACTGATTATCATTACATTCTATGATACAATGTCTACGCAAAATAAAAATATAAAATAGGAAGATCACTCCAATTAGTTAAGATTGTTACAAAAGAGAACTAAAAACTGTAAATGCCAAGGTTGCATGAAACTTGTGACCATTAGAGTGTTGACATCTCTTCCATGTCATCAATGAGTATCTAACCGGCTAACTCGGCTTCACGACACGTAGACCTAATACCACTGGCGTAACTACGACTTTGTACAGGGTGGACCACCATTCCACTTTAGGTACCAAGGTAGATTTAAAAATTTGGAAATTTTTAATAAAACATTCTACATCCCCTACGGGATGTAAGGATACAGTCCATACTCTGTAAGGACCACCCTGTTCTTTATCCAGTTACACCAATGCCTAATACTTCTGAAGCTCGTCTATACAATTAACCATGCGCGTCGAGTCGTGGCCAGTTCACATCGCGTTATAGTTAACGCCGTGTAAATTGATTGGCATCGTGGTGCTGGGCAACGCATAATCTGTATGCCTACTATCTATGTAACCACTTAACATCGTATGAGGACTGTGAGTGGTCAGCATGGTATGCGTGCTGTGGGTATTGTGTGTACTGTGTGGTGTGGTGGGAGGTCCCATCGGCGTGGGGCTCTGCGAATTGACCGGTTGCGTCGACTGGGCTGGGGGCGGCGAGGAATTCACTTCTTGCTTGACCCTCGACTTCAAGCTCGGTCGGTTGTTCGGGTAACCACGTTTTTTATACTCGAGCCAAAGTGTTCGATTGTTCACGCCGAACATCCTGGCCGCTTTACAGAACCCTATACCACCGTAACGGACTGCGTCTAACGCCCTGATAAAGTTCTCGTCCGCCTGCGGATTCGTCGATCGTTTCCTCTTAATTGCGGTCTGCGGACTGGCACAAGGGCTCTGGCAGTTACTGGGACACTGTGTCGACGGTGAAGGCCCGCCTGACGATGCGTGCTGCAACGTCCCGTGGGAGGAGTTCGGATAATTCGTCAGGGCGCAACTGCTACCAGTCGTGCTGGTACCAGAGTACTGATCGCTGATTGCCGAGGAAGCTGTTATTTCGGGCGTGGTAAAAGCTGATGACGCTTGGATCGACAGATTCGTTTGACACGAGGACAGAGCGAAACGTGGATATGTATGCTCCATAATAGTCCATTGTAATCCTGTGGAACAGACCGGTTCATACTTTGGTCAGAGCACAGGAATTATTTCAACACTGACTATATGCTTTTTCTTCTATCTTTAATTAATGCAAGAATAAATACTAGTTATATGTATCATACGTATGAGATGTGTTCTCGAATGAAATACCAAATTTTATAATTGTTAGGCAAAGTGAAATTAAATATTTGTGTGGTATAAGAAAAATGTGACATTGAAACTTATTATTTATTGTATAATATAGTATAATAGTTGATAAATAAAGAGGCAATTCGGCAATAATTGTTTATTAGAAATAAAATTATAGAATTGGAGAAAATATCTAATCCGTACAAAATGAAATGCTGTACGCTACTATGTGTGAAAAGAAAAAAAGACAATGCTAAGCTTTAAGCAGAAAAGAATTAAGTATTTGTAAAAAAAGGTCTGTGGAAATAATGAAATATATATGTATATATATATATGGGAATATTAAGAGCAGAATTATGGCATGGCACAGATACATTTTAAAGCACATTATTATTCGTTCAAAGTAGAGGAAAACAATGTGTACAACTTCACCAAATTAAAGGACAGAGCAAGGCACACATACACACTTGACAATGTTAAAGGCCTGATTTGACTGTCCTCTGAAAGAACATTATACATTGTGTGCTATGTATCTGTGTACCATGGTGAATTTCATGAATGAGACTAGCCTGCATTGAAAATTTATGCTACTAGTTTTCACTTTTCCTGAATTTTCGCTCTATTTTCATGTCAAACGTCTGTTGATTTTTCCTTGTGCAGTACATTTAAACGCATCTGTGCCAGCATATAATGTGTGTAAATTTCACTTGTTGACATGCACTTTCAATACCCACCACGCTTGCTATAGACCGCGCTTAACTACTAAACTACCAAGGTAACTGTGTGAGAGGCAGACATCATGCATGTTTAAAATTAAATTATTGCCGTTTGTGCACAAATAAGAAAGTAGGGTCTCCAAAATTGCGTGATAAAAATTACGCCAGTATTACAAATTTAAGAGAAATTCTTTTATGGTACCATTAAAAGACTGTTCTATCAATAAATTATACAAATATAATATTTTGTACTATACATTATTATACAATTCATATTACATATGTACTTCCTTAAAGAAAGTGCTACTTAAAATTGATATCATTATCTTTGCTACCACTAATAAAACTTTTCATAATAATTCATACTATGTACTATAAATATTTTGTTACATTACAGCATGTAGGTCAACCCAACACAATGTAAATAATTACTTACCTTGATGTGTAGGTGGTTGTGAAGAAAGTGAACTCTGTGCCACGTTTCCTCCTGATTGTTGACTCACATCTTGGAGTGATCCATCGCTTTGTGCCGGTGTTGTTGCAGAACTGTTCTCCATGTTGCTCATCTGAAATAAGTTTCATTTTCTGTATCTAAGTTTTCATAATATACACATGCAGTTACAAACATTAGTGTAATGAAATTTTACTTACAATGGATATTTGATCTTCATCTATGCTTCCTTGAGATTCAGTACTGGTATTTATTGGTCTTCTTAGGCTCTCACCGCTTTCTTGTGAAACTATCAATGGTTCTGGTTTTACAATATTGGTAGCAACTAATGTGATTTCATTCATTTCCTCTGGTTTATCACCAGACCCAGATGTTGAGCCTGTAGATGATTTTCTTAGCCTCTTTCTTCTAAAAGATGGAGATAATGGAGATGGACTGGGCGAACAAGATTCACCACGATCTCCTCCCCCTGGTTCACTACTTGGCCATTTAGTTAAAGAAGCAGTATGCATTTCTGCAAGCCCTTTTATTTTTAAACTCTCTGCAGTCTATATAACAAAACACAAATAGCACTTTATTATTAATGCTTTCTTAAATACCCAAATTATACAAAATATTTATGAATATCTGTGTACCTTTATAATTGATGGTAACTGATCCTGTGATATGTTCACTTCTCCATAGTACATAAAGTCAACCATGATTTTTAAATCAGAGAATTTTACATCTTTTAATATTACAATTGGATGTTGGCATGGATTCACAGTAAACAATGATTGAAAATATGTACTGCACGCGGACAGTACAACTTTATGCGCCTGAAGGTGTCTCCCTTCTGCAGCCAACGTTACATCTACTAAGGTTTCATTGTTCAACAAACTTGAAAATACAGAAATAAAATTTGGTTGATGGTTGTTCCATCGTAAACAAAACTGCTGCATCGACATTTTAACAAGCTGCCAAATTACAGCCAAAAACAATAATTATACCTGTAAAATTATGTGTTATTTAGTTTCCTATAAATTATCTTCATAGTAAACAAAATCATTTTATAATGCTTTCGGTTTTAAACACTAAACACTTTGCATAAAGTGTATCATTTTTTTCTAATAATATAAAAAGGAAAACAAAGACATAAAAGAGCAAGTGACTCATAATAATCAAATACACTGACTAAAAAAAAAATGGCATTAAATGCAAACATAAAACTGTCAATGAGATCAGAGTTATTGTTCATAAAAAAAGAATATGTTTCAACAATTTACAATGCCTTTCAAACGTTTACTAATAAAGACAAAAACTCGAGCCAAATTCATGAGTTCATTTCGCGGTCAAGTTGTCATACTTGGCGAATACAACAACAATTTACACAACTATAGAAGTGCAAACTACCGCGTTATTGAAACGGAAAAACAAAAGAAAAATCATTGGACAATACGGTTACAGTCATTCCATACAACAAATATAGATTCGCGCGATGATCACGACACAGATAGAACAAATAAAATTGCTTACTCGATTCGAACGGGGTTTCCTCAGGAATAAAAACACTGCCGGAAACGTTCACAGAATGTTGCGATATGGTTGAAAAATCCGGCGTTCGAATTTCGATTAGAAAAAACAGAGTTCGTTCGGCGCTGCCATGAATTCGACGAAATTTTCCACAACAGACTGAGCGGTGACGCTTGTGTAATTCACAAATGACGTCATAAGCGAAAAGTTACGATCCAACGATGGCGCGCGATGGCGAACCTCGCAAAAATCGTCCCGACGAATGTTGATATTGTAACAAATTTCTTATACAATCGACAAATACGTGATCTTATCAACATGCGTCCTTAGAAAATCTAACTTGATCAATATAGCGGCCAACCTATAGTGACATCTACCGAGGATCTGTCAAGCACGACGCTTATCTTTTGGAAAACATTTTGATTCCAAAATTTTCTTCCTACTTTGATAATCAAGAATACGAGATAGGAGGATGTCTTAAACTATTAGAACTTAGGGATTTTAGAATTTAGACACTTTGGTATCTACAGATTTCGAGATTCAGACATTTTTACACTCAAGAATTTTGGAACCTAAATATTTTGATATCTAGGAATTTCAAGATCTAAGCATTTTAGTATCTAGTGATATAAGAACCAAAAAATATTGGGATCTACGGTTTTTTGGTCTTAGGTATATTAAGATGTAAGGATTTACGGACATTCGAATCTGAGAATGGTTCGATATAAAGATAACGGAATTCCAGGGATTTTGAGATCTAATGATCTTTGTTTATATTTTGTGTCACAAGATTCCTTTTTCTTATCAATTCCTGCCGTATCTATTGGGACTGGAACTACATACCAGTGCTATTAGCGGTGGAAATTAAAATGAAAAATACTTTCAGCATTTGTGTCCAAATATGAATGCCTCTTTGTTCATTAAACTTAACTTTCCTATTGTACTGATATAAAATTAAAGAAAGATATAACAAATAATATTAAATAAAAGTTGAATAATAATTACACTTAATTTTTGGTGTGTAAATTAGTTCGCGTTTATTTGCAATCTGTAAGCATTTTCGACATATACGGACCGTCCAACTCGTAACCCATCTTTCTGTAATAATTTCTTGTACCAACACCTGGAAAGACATGATCATATCATTATACAAATATTATTAATGTCATTAAAATGATGTTTATGATTCATACCTGATATAACAGCTATTTTGAGTGACTGATGTTCTTCTCTAGCTATCCGTTCAGCTTCTTCCATTAATAACATCCCAAAGCCTTGATGTTGAAACTTTGTGGGATCACGAGCATTTACAGGAACAACGCTGCCATAAACATGAAGTTCTCTCACTATTGAACATCTATCTTTAAGTTCTGGCCTGTAAAATACACTTGATTAAGACAATTGTTCTTTATTTTCAATTTTTACTGTTAGTTGTTATTTTACCTAAACGTGTCATTGGAACATTTCCTCAACCTCAATAATCCAACTAAAATATCTTGTGTAGGATCTTCGTATGATAAAAATGTTTCCCATCCACCATTAGCAACATAATCGCGTCGTATAAGTTCCACTTCGTAAGGCTGTATTTTATGGTGTATTTCTTGAATTCCTACTTCACGAGTTCTAACGTCGCGGCAATCAGTTCCTAAATCTTTCATTCTTGCCAATGCTAATTCACGCAAATTTCCATGTTCTACGCCTGAACTAGATATTGAAAATTAAATATAAGATAAATAAGGACTTAATGAAATATGAATGGTATCTGCACCTTAACTATATGTATTAATTAATATTACCTGACCAAAGGCATAGGTATATCTCTTTGTACACGATATACACGAGTCCAAGGTGGTATTAGAGCTAAAATACGGGCTATAAGATCCACCAATACACTTGGTGGATAACTTTTATATCTTCCAGTTTTCCATAACTCATACAAGCCTGTACCTCGTATTACCAACGTTGGATAAATTTTCAATCCATCTGCTCTAAAAGCAGGATTTTCAAAGAATTCCTATAAAAAATAAATTTCAATATTAAGAATCTCAAATAATTATGTGATTAACTGATAGATTCGACTTACAATAAATTGATTAACGTCTCTTTCGATATCGACATTTGGTAAATCAGGCATCATGTGTGCTATTACTTTGAAGCCAGCATCTTTAGATAACTGGAAGCTTTCACATACTGCCCGAACAGTATGTCCTCTATTAGTATCTCGTGCCACATCTTCATACACGGATTGTACGCCAATTTCTAAACGGGTGCATCTATATGAAATATTTTTTGGATATAAAATAAAATCTCTAAAATTCGTTTTATGAATACTGTGGTACACATACCCATAACGTAGCATATCAGAGAGATGCTTTTTAAGACAATAATCAGGTCGAGTTTCTATAGTAATGCCAATACATTTTGTTTTACTTCTTTCTGAATATTTTACTGCTTCATCAACATTGCTACTAACATGGCCTGACAATGCATCATGTAAATTTCGAATGAAAAAGTCTCTGTAGTCCTCTGGTAAAGACATGAAGGTTCCTCCCATAACAATAAATTCAATTTTATCTACACTATGTCCTAATTGCTTCAGCTGAAATAACATTCCTTGTTTAGTACTTGATGCAATTTTATTTTTATTCAACAGAAGCTGATGTTTACCTGTTCAACACGATGTCTGGTTTGTAGAAATGGGTTATATCTTGCACGTATGGCTCTCATAGATGTAGGTTCATAACCAGTATAAGATTGCGTAGAATATTCAAAATCTGAATCAGGTCCACCAGGACAATATACACAAATGTTCCCTGTCATATTGATGTGAGGGCATCTGTGTGGTTTACACATTACAGCCACAACAGCTATCTATAAACATCAAATTACCCATTGAAAGCATGTCACTGTAATATGAAAATCATGTGTTTGATTATGTAGTTAATAATGAACATGTTCTTGTTAGTTACATAGATTATAACATGTGATACTAACTCCACTAGCAGTTCTAATAGGTTTTGCTTTTAATTTTGGTACTAATACGTTTCTTGCATCAACTGGCACAGCTGCTATAATATCCACCAATCTCGGTGAAGCTTCTAAGCCATATTTGGAAGCGATCCGAGTTTTCAATTTATTTAAATCAACATCTTTATTCGCAGCATGTGCCTTTAATAGCTCTTGTATAATTTCTCCAATAGTCATGACCATACGTTCCTCCTTACTCTGTTCAAATTCTGAGAATGAAAATAAGGTATTTAATAAAGTCATTGCTTATCTTCATTTTTCATAATACAAAATTTAGAAAATAACTTGCCTCTTTTCTTCCTAGTCATGATGATAATTTAAAATAACAATATATTCAGTATTTTGTAAAACAAGTTAAAAATCTTGATTGTTGTTTTGAAGAGAAGTTCAGGTTAACTTCAAAAAAGCATGCATACGTTCTGCAACATTTCGTAATTCTCAAGCTATGTCGGTACTGATGTTTCAGAAGTTTAATCTTTCTAATAGTTCCGGCTTTTATTTTACGATGGCGTTGACGGTTCTTTTAATAGCGCGTACTAATGCGAAATTTTAAATCATTTAATTACTCACTTTCTGAGTACAGACTATGAACTTTCATGATTAAAGAATGCTCAGTGACTCCCTAGCTACTTTCTCGTATCATATTTGTTTAGATTTTTAATGAAATTAATTAGTTATTAACTAATAACCAGGGTGACAAGCGGTATACACGAGGTCATTTTGAATAATTAATTACACGTTTTGTGGATATATTACGTGCACTTTTATGATTGAAGAATGGTCAGCAATGCATTATTTACATGGTACGATCATAAAAATTCATAAATAGTGTTCGGGTAACGAGTAATTAATTATTTTGTGTCAGCATTCCGATACGTACATGAGCCACCTATGTCAATTCTACTACGCATGTAAAGTGCAATATTTCGGCACTTTGACGACGTATTATGGTTCCTGAGGCATCTAGAAACAAATTTCTATTAGGGTTTGATGCATTTTGATGCCTAATAAAGCCAGAAAATCAAATTTTGTCGAATTCGGTCGAAAACGGTACAGGTGGCGCCATCTAGCGGCGAATGGCGGAACTACGAAAAACTAAAATTTCGATTTTCTCCGAAATTAGGCAATTTTA